CCAACAGTTGTCGTACGAAAAAGTCACGTTTGATGTCCTAACGATTTCTTAAATAGGACAAAAATGAGGCCGCTTAGTTTTATGAGATCGACGTTACGCACTCTCAACTAAAACAACCACTTAATTCATCAATTATGCCATAAATTTCATTTTATCGCACCACTAATTCTATTTACTATTAATTGCTCATAAACTTTTTCTACCTATCAATTGACGGCGACTTTCTAACAATAAGACTATGCTTAAAATTGCAGAACTGTTATATGCGAAATTGCAGAACAGTGAAATCAGTTATATTCCCGTCATTCCAAAATTGAGCAGAAAGTAATCTCAAAATGATGAGGCTCACTTCACAATTATTATTGAGATAAAACTCTGGTGTTGATTGATTCCTGACGGATGCACCATGCATTGATTTTATCTAGTATCGTTTGAGCTGATTGAGTGCGTATGTGGCCTTTCTAATGGCTCGCGGTAGCCTACAATGTATCAAGTTAATGCTGCTACATTCCAAACAAGTCTGGTACCACATCACCGGCCTTGAGGGATGGGAGGCTTGATTATCCTCGAACGCGAGATCGAACCATCTATACCCGATTGGTCAATCGACCACGTGGGTATCGCAGAGCACCTCTTACCACTGCGCCACACGCGCTCTATTACTGTTATACTCGGAAGTGAAAATGAACTGCCGTTTCCCTATCTTTTTTACTATATTGTCATTTTCGTTTACCATAGTTATTCATCTAGGTGCCTCTAATCGTTAATGTATGCTAAAAATAAGAAGTACTAAAAATAGAACAGTTTCATAAAGCTGGTTCAGCGATTGCAGTCAGAATTCAGATTTCAATATTTTGTCATTTTTGATCACTTTTCTCTTGTTCCTACTTTCTAGTCCCATCACTCTCTGCAGTAGAGGTATTTGTTGTCTTTCGTTATAACTCCTTATCCTTCCATATATTGAACTTTTTCCTTCAATTTCTCTAAAATGTCGTAAGTGCTATTTCCGTTTTCGGCAATTCTCGTTTTCTTTTCAGTCAACAGTTTATTACCCCTTTTTTGTCAAGTTTCATTCAAAATTTATTGTCTAATCAATTTAACGATCAGTCGTTTCTTTAGCAGGTTCTTTTTCAAAAAATGGCGAAAAAACGTTGTACTACACAAAGTTTTGAACTAAAACTTCGTGAAACTGGCCCTAAAATCTTAGTCGGTTCTATAAAGAAAGCGCAATGTTGTGTCTGCTGTGAAAAAAGGAATGGAAAAAAACGTTAGAAAGTGTACGAGTGAAAGAAGCAACGCGCAGTCCTTCATGTAGAATCATTATCACTCGTGATTGGTCACCCCTATGATCGAGGTCCGTTTATGACAATTTTGGTGTTGTCCGTAACATCATCCAGCTCTGACGGTATACTCCTAAACTATGCTGTATGTTCTGGTTTCATTTCGTGTTTTTGTTCAGTTACAACATGAAGCGGTAAAACTAGTAGCATCTTCAACTGTTCTCAGTTCACTAAGTTGGCGTAAAAGTAATCGCGGTTTTACATAGATTAAGTCTTCGAAACTTATTTTGATTAGCTGATGTGAGGTCGGTAATGGTTATGAAGTAGCAGCAAAGCATTAATAGCAGAGTAAGCAGTTCAATGGCTCACTTTTCGCCCATTCACCTTCTTTAGCGCCTGGGCGTACGCTCTAATCGACTTTATTATTACTGCCTGCTACTACTACTACCATTACCAATTTCACGTCACCTAATCAAGCCAGTCTTTACGATTTACGCGCATTAATTACCAATGCCGAGATCAATATAAAGTCGATTTTTCAAATAGTTGCGGTGTCGTTAATGTTGCGAGTTGTCTGTGCTGCTTTACGACTTATTGAACTCGAACATTCAAATGTATTAAATTTGCTTTTCTATAACATCCTTTTCATAGCTTAGAATAGATACGAAATAAACAGTTAGTAACACATCATTAGCAACAAAACAAAACGAGGAATGCGCAGCATTTAATTGAGAATAAAAAAGGATGAAGGATAAAGCTTCCGGCATTGATCAATTCCTGAGGGATGCGCCATGCATTCGCCTTCAATTTTTGACTTCGTTTGAGGTGATTGAATGCATATGTGGCCTTTACAATGACTCGCAGAGACCTCCCGCTGAATCGAATCAGTGCTGCTCATCCTCTAAGACAAGTCTGAGATCAGTCTGACCAATTCACCGACCCCCTAGGGATGGATGGTTTGGTGAGCCATAGGCGCGAGATTGAACCAGTGACCTTGTGTGAGACGCAGAGCACCTCTAACCACTGCGACATGCGCTCTTACCTAATTGAGAGTATATTTCAAAATATAATGATTTAATAAACGTGGTTTGAGAGGGTGATTACTTTTGCACCAACCCGATACTGTTCGTTATCATTCGGGCGATTCGAATTAGTTGTTGAGATATTCATTCGTGTTGTGTTACTCAGTTGTTTATATTGGATAGATTATTTGATACAGGCACCCTCACAGTAGAAAGAAGCTGCGATACGGGTCAGATAATCAGATAAAGTGAAGTGATTGCTTGATCAGAAGCGAACTATACCTCGCAGTTTTGTTGGTGAGCAACCACACGGCTGTTAACAGTAAGATTTATTGAATACAATACAATATTGGCTGACTTTGGGCACGGTCCCAGATTTTTTGTGTTCAGTAAATCTTACTGTTGCTAACCTCATATCTGCTCAAAGAATACAGCACGCTGCATTGGTCAGTAGAAAGTCGTTTTCAACGATGTAGTCCGCTAAACAATGACGTTCTACGCATAATCATGATCATACGTAAAACGTAGCGAAAGCTTGAAGAATTTGAAGAAGTATTACCTTTGTCAGATCATGATGTTCAATAGCTCCCAATAGTGTTGTAAGTGGGCTGTTCAACTTTTTGCTGAGAATTCCATTAGTCTCTACGTTGGGACTTCTTGCCGTACTCATCGTGGGCTTGTCAAAATCGTCTACTCGTCCTGTGGTTTCATTGTTGTTCTCATCTCGTCATCGTGCGTCCCATCATTTGCTAAATACCATCCCTCCGTGGTCATCGGTCTTATTGTAGCTGTCAACTCTTCGTTTTCTTGTCGTATTTCGTCTTCACGTCTCTGATGTCGTCTTTCGTTTTATCCTGACTGTCTTTTTGGACTTCTTTATGCCCTCAGGACCTTATCGTCCTACCTGCTGTTTCAATCGTCTTTTGATTGGCGTACTCGTAGACGGGACGTCAACTTCGTCTTCATATTGTCATCTTCTTGTCGTCCTTCCGTCATAACGTCGTCTTCTTGTCCTTTTTGCCGTCGTGACAGTCGTGGCGTCTTGTCATATATGTTGTGTGATTGTCATCTGAATATCACCACCATGTCCGCTCTCTTCTTATCCATCAAGCCTTGTCATCGTTGTGAACGTAGTCATAGACGTTCTCGTCTCGTCGCCGTTTTTTCGCCTTTCTTCTCGTCGACGTGGGTGTTTTTGTTCTTGTCATCGTCTTCATGATCTTTACTATTATTATTCGTCAATGTTGACCTGTTCCCAATCACACTTAGAGCGTCTGTCCATCTCGATGAAGCTATGGTGGGGTGGTGGTGCCAATAGCGAAATCATCACATGCACTGCTAGCGTGTTGACGGCCTGTTAATGACATATTGGTGGCTGCTGCAGCTCGAAAATTACACAAACATCGGCTCAATCCATTTATGGCTTTTCTCACTCTTCTCAGGAGTGAGGAAGAATCAGTAGTGGCGTTCTATCTTTTTTTCTTATTCTTTCTGCGGTTATTTTTGCGTTTTCTTTGTGTTGTTTTATTTTGCGACTGAATTTGTTTTATTTTTTGGCCACCTTTGGTTTATTTCAAATCAAAAACTGATGTCATAAGATGTGTTCTTTTATACTATTCACTGAGATCGATTAGCGATTGAATATAGAAGTATATGTTTTGAAATGTGTAGTTTTTATTTCCTTAATCAATCTCTGGCATTTTATAAAAAGTGGTAATCCGTGGAAACTGTTGATAGCTCATGAACAAAATGTTATTGGGTAGTGGCCAAAAGTTAACGCTTAGTCAGTTTCCCCACTCGTCTTGGTGTTTCAACTTGAATTCAAAATTTATTTTGCATAGTTAATTTGCGGCTAGTCACTTAGCATTCATTCCTACTCTATCTCTTTCACTCTTCCAATGCACTCATCTCAGTTTTTTCCTTTCGGTTACTCTCATAAAACAGTTTTTTTTTTCTTTGTAGAGTCAGAGGATTGAAAGCGTTCCAGATCCACTCTTTTGGATTTCACTTTAGTGTCAAACATCTTTTTTCTGTCATTTTCTTGTCCACACGTTTTCGTTATGACCTTATATTCTCAAAAATGCAAATGAAAATCCTCATTGAAAACATTGAATTTTAGAATCACCAATATTACAAAAGCTATCCATTTATCGGCATTTTCTCTTCTGTTATGTATTTAATCGCATTCGTTGAAAAACATAAAAACCAATAAAAACAAAAACAATAAAAACACAATAAAAACAAAACAGAAAATAAGGTATCAAATTCGAATTGAAGAAAAACGCGAAGGAAGGAAGGTTTTGCAGAATAATGGTTTTTTTCCTCCTTGAATTTCCCTCTGTCCTGTTATTAAATTTCACTAAAAACGGTTAGAAAAACCTCGTTCAGAGAAAACGGAGAATAAAATGTAAAGATATAGTAACATGTGTTGATAGTATCTGGTTCACATTGTTAATAAACTTTTTGAAATTTTTCGTGTACAGGTTCACAATGACCACACTAACTGGTTTTCTTATTTAAAATATACTATTCAAAACCAGTAATATAGCTGTACTGATACGACGATGAAATTATGTTCACATGATACTCACCTGTGATTTTTTCTCCAGTGTTCCCTTTTGAGATTTCTAATTTTTTTACTTCTTTTTCGCAGTCTTGTGATGTTTAAAATGCACCAAAGAAAAGGTGAGCAAAAATTTGCCATTAAACGGGAGTTAAACCCGCGTTTCACCCATTCCCAGGGGCACGTGCTATCACTACACCACTGAGGCACCGTTTCGCTCTCTTTTTTATTTACAAATATGTGTGAAAATATAACGAAGACTAAGCTGATAGTGCTGGAGAAAATTTACAGTTTTACCTACGCTTTAGATCATAACATTGTACCAATTTTGTATTTTAGAATAATTTGAGCGTTAATTTTGTTGATAGATCCGGCTGTGTTGTTGAATATTTCGTTTTTCTTTTCATTCTTTCGCCGCTATCTTTCCAAATTCAGCTTACTTCTGTCTTAGGTTCATGTCAATCGTGTGTTCTCGGTTTTTGTTCTTTTTATTTAGTCTATTTTTTGCCTATCTCTAAAAGCGGGCATTCCGCTCAGTGTAGTGATAGAAGCACAACATTGTGACTCTACATGAGACTAACGGCCCTTTTTACTAAGAGTACACTTGCAAGAACAATCAAGCAAACACCATTTCACTCTCTTTTCTCTGTTTCTATCTTCAATCCCCTTGTTCACTTTTTCTTTCATTTTGAAGGGACGGATCAGTTTGCCTAAGTACATATATGAGCCTGTGGTGATGCGCATCGCGTGAGCACTTTTAATCACTGCTCCATTTGTCGTTTTCATGAATTCAATTGATTCAGTGTTTTGTTGAAGAGCAGTCACGGGGTTGTTAACAGAAAGATTCATTTCGTACAATACTGACCGATGTTTTGACGGTTGTGTCTTCTTCAGAGCTCATATTCTTCCCTAGACGTAATTATTCAAATATTAAGCAGAATAAAATTGCTCCAAGTCGTACTTCTTTAGCTGAATATTTATGTTGCCTTGCCTGCATCGAAGAAAAGCGGAGAGAAGAAATTAATTCGTGTTTTTACTTTTGTTGCCTGAATAGAACTATCTGACAAAACTCGGAAACTCATCTCATAGAACTTGTAAACGTTATTATAACTCCTCTTTTTAATCGATAAGGCGAAATGACACAATCGTTTTGTTGCCTGTTTTGATGGACTTGATGTACTTTTGGTAATGTTGGATGACTGAAGGAGTTGTTCAGTGAATAACAGAAAATGAAGGATTATATTTGAATAATAATCGAATCTTTCACAGTATTTTTTCCACAAAAAATAAAAAACATCTTGTTCTACTGATAGGCCAATAATACGTTTTTAGAAGAAATTAACAATTCTGAGTAAAAAAATTTTTCACTGTTGCTCATTTGAGTTTATTCGTAGCATAATAGAGGTGAATCAAGGCATAATCGGCGTGTGAAATAACTTACCATAGCCCATTGTTGTGTCAAGTCATTGTATTTTATAGTCACAAGTCTAGTGATATATCAACTCTGGGGAGATTAAGGACTTGTTAGCCTCAAAGCTCCGGACCGAACCAGCTGCGATCGTATGTCTTGCAGATCACCTCTAACAACTGCGCTACACTCTCCTTATTAATCATGCTTTTTTATTGTTATCATAACATGATCCGACATCACATATGTCACACTGTGTGAATCCCACCACTTCTATCATTCAATTCATTTTTCGCATTCATCTTTCGTCCACAAAGGTCTTCTTGTTTTCTCTGTGTCAGTTCACTTGCCGATTTTCGTTTTCACTATGAATGTCGCTTGATGCTGGTCGAGTTGATTTTCGCTGCAGTTCTGGTGTGTCCGTGTTACAAAGCTCCCATGTGGATTGACGAGAGTTTTACTGATTCTAAACAAGTTTGCTATCAACAATGCGCTCCGCAAGGATGAGAGGTTGATGGGCTTAGGGTTAGTGGTGCTAGAATAGGTTGGGTCAGTCGCGTAATCTACGAAATCATCTTTAGAAGTACTTGCTCTTGTACTCATCATCTGCGCCGAAGTTCAGTGGAATTCGCGTTGAAAAACAAAAAAACTCCAGTGAATTGAAAATCTTGGGATAGAAAGTAAAAAGACGAGTCTACTAATGTACACAAGAAGACATCTTTCATTACTCATTTGAATTATTCGTATGGATCGTATTGTCATTCAGCGCTAAATAGCCCCATTTATTTTCTATACAGGATGCCTATGTTAATAGGTTTGGAAGAAAATTTCCATCGTTTGAATGCGAATGTCGTTTTTTTCGCATGAATTTGCGCGATTCTCATATCATTTGAAAAGTCTACTTCTACCTCATCTGTTGATACATGATTTGTCTATATTTGCTGCAGAATGGAATTATCCAGGGAACAAAAACAAAAACGTTTGTTGATGTTTTACAAGTACAAATTTGGTTCAAATGCTGCAAGGCAAAGTTTGAGGAATTCAACGGAGTTGAGATTCTACGCATCCACTTTGTAGTCCGAAAGTTGCTCCATCTAATTACGGCCTTTTACGATCAATGCAACATTTTTTGGAAGGTCGCCGATTTGAATCTTTCGACGAAGTTGGGGAAGCATGTCAAGAGTTGTTTGATTCTAAGGCGAAGGAGTGGTTACATTGATCAGATCCGAAACCTGGTGGACCGATGGCAAAAAGTGCTGGATGATGATGGCCTGTATTTTAAAAAATAGTTGCTGTCGTTTGTTGTCTGAATATACGCATAAATTTTGAATGTTTCATCAGACGATGGAAACTTTCCAACCTAGTATTAGGTCGTTTAAAAAGTTTTGGCAGTGGAGCAATAAGTAATAAATTAATCAACAGCAGCAATTAAAATTGCATGATTTTGGTATCGTTCAATTGCGCATTTTCTTGCGAACATTTTGGCATACAATTTGCCTATACTTGCTTTGAGGTGTAGCTTTCTTGGGAACAGATTTGCTTATTACCATACACGGATGGCGCGCAGGAGAAAATGCTGGTGAGCGGTGAGCAAGATTGATGGAGCTTGAGGCGATGATACGGTCGCAGAAAGGGCGGCCAGGAAGTGGTTCGCGAAGTTGAAAGCTGGAGGGAACAGTATGGAGGATGAGTCGCATCAGACCGTCCACAGGAGCTTGATTAAACCTGCGCACCGCTTTACTAGCATTTTCATGTGCCATCAGTGCATGAGTACCAAGCGAATTTGTTTCCAAGATAGCTACCATCTCAAAGCAAATATAGGCAAGTTGTATACCAAAATGTTTGCAAGAATATGTGTAATTGAGCGATGTTAAAATCATGCAGCTTTAAGTACTTTAGGTTGATAAATTCGGTGTTTACTGCTTGAGTGCAAAAACTTATGGAACGTACCAATATTTTTGCTGTCAATTTTTCTGACGCATAAATCTTCAGATTCAGTTATTCACGGCAGCAAAACAATTTAGTTTCGAAAAATCATGATTGTACATTCTCCTTTTAGATTTTTTTCGGCAATTTTTGATTTTCTAAGAAGATAAAAAACATACAGGTCATATATATGTTACTTATAGAAGAAGTAGGTTATTCATATTAGACAAGGAATAGAAGCACTAACTTAAGTATACTGTAACTTTTACATTCATATTGTAACCTGAGTATGTTACACCTTATATATTTACAATTTAGCAAGTAAACTTTTGTAAGAACCGAAGAGTAATGAGAACATCTCAACTAATAAATGGAGAAAGATTTTGTAATTGACATTGCAAGATCACATCAACTGTTTGGTGCAGACCTCCGTTCGTTCATCGCTCACACTCTGTCATTAATGAATTATGAAGTACAGAGAGACAAAAAACAAAAATTTGGGAAAAAACATAGAATGGGCTACGAATAGTCGAAATCAAGGTCTTCTTCAAACTCTGAAGAACGCTCTCATCGTCTTGTGACCATAATCACTCACTATCAACCGATGAAGTGGCCTATTCGATAATACGTCGCGTTTAATTGGTCTTTTTTTAGATTAGAGCTTATAAATCTTATAGTTCGTTTTTTAACGGATTCTTAGATATGCTCTAATTCATGTAGCAATAAGCGTAATTATTATCATGATGATGATCAACACCGATTAACACTCACAGCAGCAGCCCGTTCCCTAGTGTCACGCCCATCGCACAACAAGTTATTGAAGCGCGATTTGAATATGCACTAAAATCAAGATGTACGGTCCATGAGCCCTTTTAAGAGGCACGACATAGCGGTTTTTTGAAGCTCTTGTGTTACTCAGTTACCTCACACACTTTCCGTGCCTCTTAAAGTTCTATCTATCCTCTATGTTCTTCTGAGTGTGTTCATATGTTTTTGTACACCTGTTCTATGTTTCCTAACGCTTGTGTGTGTGATAAGCACGAATTTGTTCATTATTTAATAGTGGTATTAATAGCTTGTTCGTAGTTTTGTACAATACTTAAAGTGTATTTCTTGTTTCTCTCATGTATTTGTATACGCCCATTTTACTCCATCGTCCGAAAGCGGCTTTTTGTAGGTGCAACGCACTGAGAAGGCCTGTCATTGAATCGGGCCTAAAATAAACTCTTTTCTTGACAAGCTATCGATTGACTATGGAAAGTCTGACAAAAGAGCTCTGTGTGATGATCGAAATCAATGTAAATGATAGTCAAAGAATAAATATATATGAAAAAAAAGAGAAAAATCTCGTAGAATATTTATCGAGTGTGTTGAATTCCAGAGCTCTTGATTGGCCTTTTTTTTATTCACCTGTCTTTCAAAATTGCGTCAATTCAGACGCATCATGACATTTGTCAGTTTCTCGAACTCTGTTGCTGTTGATCGATCTATGCGTGATAGCTAGGCTTTTTTAAATTTTTGTTTTCCACAGTTCGACTTTGAACTACCAGCTCTCATATAATTAATGTGCATAAGTGAAACTAACGACTGATGTCGTTTTCTTTATTTTTAACTTATAACTTTAACTAACAACTGATGTCGTTTTCTTTATTCAAAACTTTCACGAGGTTGGTACTTCCTTTACCTCAAAGCTCGGTGGCTGACGTTTCGGCGGCAACGCTTTCGTCAGAGCCTAGGCGTACATATTATATCAAATGTGATTACTCGGTTAATATTTCGCATGCATCAAAAATCCAATAGAAAAAAAATCAACAGTCTAGTTTCTGAAAAACCCCACCTTATCCAAAGTTTCCTGAGAGCGTTCACCGATCTAG